ACCTTCTTCACTTTTCTCCATTTTCTCTCAAGAACAAGCTTCAATCTTCCATATATTAATTCCTTCAACTTGGTTCTTAAGTTTTTGTTAAGTATTTCCTTCATAATCTAGGGATTCTACACACTTATAAACTAGTTTCAATCCATTTACACACATTATCATGTGTTATTATTCGTAGGATCTTCAAATCTTCAAGTGTTCTTGACTTGAATCCTTCCATATACAACCTTTTATCCACTAAGAAAACACACCTAAGGTGAGTTCATACCCCTTTATTTTCGATATTTCCAAGTTTTAGTGGGAATACAAGTAAGCTTGTCTAATAACACAAGTTGTTATGTATGCTTCTTCATTATGTTGGGTAAAAGTATTATTTGCATGAAATAATGTTATTATCTAGTGTTATGAGTATTTATATTTAGTAAGTTTTTTTAAAATGTTAAACTAGGAAAAATGAGTATAAATAAGCCACATAAAAAGGGTCATAAAAATAAAACAATCTATGGTTTTATGAACATTATATGGGATTTCTAGCAAAAATGGTCATGACTAGGTTATGGCATCATTTTTGTGAGATTTGACCTAAAATATGTTATTTTAAATATATAAGGTTAGTTTGACTTAATATCCACAAAAAGGTAACCCAATTTTTACTGGTTAGTGACGTTAAAAAGCCAAAAACTAGAAAATTGGCTTTATTAGATGTAACGTTATATGATATAATCTTTTAAACATCTAAACATGTTAAATTATATATATATATATATATATATATATATATATATATATATATATATATATATATATATATATATGGATCGTCCAAACACTGCTGTAAGATCTTCAAAAACGGACCAAAGGGCTTCTAGCTCATTGATATTCAACGTTGTTCTCCCTCCTTGAGGCCGAGGGTTCAAGTCTCGACGTGGACATAGGTGGATTTAAAGAATAGTTTATGAGTAGGTTAGATTTTCCGTTTAAAAAAAGATCTTAAAAACCGAGAATTCTGAAAATTTTCTAACTTGGAGTTGTTTCCCTTTTCCTCCTCTTTGGTCAAAGTCTTTCTTAGTGAAAGCCTAGGGTTTTAAGTTTTATATTCGTTCAACTTCCTCCTTGGGTTACTTGGATCCCCATGGTTCAAAACATTTCCACTTAGGTCCTCCTCTTTAATTCATTGCAAACTTAGCATTTTTCTTTTGTATTGCCTCTTTCTAACCCCTCGTAAATAACCTTGTACAAACTAATATGATACCTTTAAATAACATTATTACTTCAACTAAAAAATAATAACCCCTAACATTATAAATCAATTTCTCCGATAATTACCGATTTTAAAATATAAAATGGAAAATAGGATGTTACAAAGTCCTTCATTTGAAGGCTGTAGAGACATACCCAACACATATCCATGGTCATATAAGTCATTTTCCTATACGGTACCAAGGTCATTTAATCATAAACGATGCAATTAAGGGTATACCATAGAGTTAACTAAAAATATACGGGAGTGAAATAATTAGCAATGTATCTCCCCCTTGTGAAGTACCAGTACCATGGTACCACCTTCATATCCCACACTTTTTTAATACATTGTAGAAACATGGATACCATAGCCTCAAGTTGTACAACATGCATCTCATGTGACAAACTACTCGTGACATTCATCAACCTCCATTTGCAACCCGATTATAATTTAGTCCTTATCAATTGATGGTACAATAGGTTGTGGTGGTGGTGGGTCAGATGCATATGAACCTTTGCCAACATCTGGTTGTGCCTTCTTTTGTGGAGGCTCATAGGTAGGCGAGTTGTGAGGTGATGATATTAAAGAATGTTCCATGTAAATATGTGTGGTAGTTGAACACATCACTTTCATATTTTAATTTCACAAACTCATTCTTCTTAACCACATGAAATACACGGGACCGAAAGGCAAGACCATAATCGGAGGCAACAAAATATTCACCAAATTGGAAGTCGGTGAGAATATAAAATTATTTCTTCCTGAAAGTCAGCTCGTACCCCTAACCTAAAAAAACATTTCCTCTACTTCACTTCGAGGGTCCGTCACAACTTCGTGGCAAAACACATACTGTAGAATTAAAGGATCCCCTTCTACTCCCACAGGAATATCTAACCACCTATAAGTATAAGTCTTTCGAAATATAGCCTCACGCGACGGACTTTCCCTGAGTGTCGCAAGCATATCTGCAACAATTATAGGTGTGCAAGATAGTGTAATTGATGATTTAAAAATTTTGTCATGTTGCAAATAAAACGAAACAAAATAATTTGAAAGTAAATTTAAAAGTTTAAAACGGTGAACCGAAACGAAATGTGATGAACATTATGAAACCGTTATGCACATTTAAGACATGTTTTTCGTGTTCCAAAGTGGTTCCTCGCATTCCCCCCATGTTTCATAATGTAACATCTCGATTTACAGTAGTGTGATTTTAGGGGTTTTATTGCAAATAAGGAAGCCTACTCGACGAGTGGGAGGCCCCCAACTCGTCGTGTAGAGAGTAGTCAACCACATGATTTATAAGGTCTACTCGACGAGTTGGAGGACCCCGACTCGACGAGTAGGAGCTGAATGAGGAAAACCCTAACTTTTAGGGTTTGCACCCTATTTAAAGAACTTATGGGTCGTTTTTAGCCTCCCGCATCATTATTACAGTTAGAGGAAACCCTAGATCATGTCCTAAACCCCCATTGTGTGTGTTGAGAGCTTGAAAGGTGTTATTTGTTGATTTTGGAAGGGAAACTTGAAGAGTGAGAAGCTTGGAGCAAGGAGAATCTTGTGGATATGATTTCTACTTCATTATGACATCATCTTGAAGGTAACAAGTCGTTACCTTGACTTCTCTTTATCCAGATCTCCTAATTCTTGGCTTAAGGCCATTTTTAGCATATTTGTGGATCATTTCGGGTATTGGGCATGATCTGAAGTTGTAACTTCGGATATGAACTCCTCTAAGTTCTTATAGCCATAAAGTTATTGAATTTATCAAGCTTGGGCCCTTCTCTTTGGCTTAAACCTCTCCCTTAGCTTAGTTTTGGCATTTAGGACCTTGCATGCACGTAAAGTTTGCAACTTTACGTGGTAACTATGCCCTAGGAGGCTGGATCTACAATTTGGAGCTTTGGGGTAGCTTAAAAACGTCTGAACGAGAAATGGACTGAAGGGACTTGACGAGTTGCATGGTCAACTCGACGAGTCAGATGAAGATTGGCTGTTGTTGGTTTTTGCATGGACTCGGTGAGTCAGTGAGACGACTCGACGAGTCAGTTAGGGTTTTTCTGACATTTGGACACCGCATAGACTCGACGAGTTGTCTGGGAACTCGGTGAGTCAACCAGGGTTTTCACGATTTTTCGAGTTGTGAAAGGACTCGACGAGTCAATGAGCTACACTCGACGAGTTGGGTCAACATGGATTGTTGACCTCGACCGTTGACTTTGACTGACCAAGGGTTAACTAAGTTTGACTCCCGAGGGCATTCTAGTAATTTAGGATTTTGATGGACTTGGACCTATGGTGGATATATGTGGTGGAGTTCGTGGCTGTGATTCAGGAGTTTGATCTTATCAATATAGTTTGACATTGTGAGGTGAGTTTTCCTCACTACGATTAGAGATCCATAGATCGGTTTGACTATCTGTAGACTGTTATGTAATTACCTATTATATGTACACATGTTTGATTGGTAGTTAAGGGTATTCCATCCTGTGGATGATTGGACCCTAGTATGTTGTCTCTGTAGACTGTTATATGATTATATGATATAGGTGCATATGTTTGATTGGTAGCGTGAGTATTCCATCCAGAGGATGATTGGACTCATAGTATGTTGGCATTCCAACCCGATGTGAGGGCCTGGGTTATTCCAGCCCGATGGTTGATTGGACCCACAGTATGTTGGCATTCCAACCCGATGTTTGAGGGCCTAGGGTATTCCACCCGATGGTTGATTGGACCCATAATATGTTGGCATTCCAACTTGATGGTTGAGGGCATGGGGTATTCCAACCTGATGGTTGATTGGACCCATTGTATGTTGGCATTCCAACCCAATGGTTAAGGGCCTGAGGTATTCCAACCCGATGGTTGATTTGACCCATAGTATGACGTTTGTGATTATATGTATATTGTTGTGTGTATGGGTATTTTGGGGGAACTCACTAAACTTCAGGCTTACAATTTTGAATTTTGTTTAAGGTACATCATATGATCGTGGGAAGACGAAGGCGTGATTGTGCACCTCCTCACATTTTTATGATTTGGATTTTTATGATATTATGATGTTTAAACTATTTTGAAAACACTTTATACTAACTTAGTGGTTTTGAATGATTGAAAAAGTTTTAAATTGGCTTGATTTTTATGGGTGTTACACATAATTGCTTTTTGTGTTCTAGTTATCAAATTTCGATGTATAACAGCCTAAGACGATAACTAAACTAGTTTTGGGTTAGTCCTAATTATAAATTAAACATCTACAAACAACTTGGAATGTGTTATTTGTTTTTCAGACTAACTTACTTACATCAATAATCTTAAAATCAAACAACTAAAAGTGTACGAGTCAAGGATTTACTCGTAAAGCGAACAAATCATCAAGATTGTGTTTCATATATTCTTTGGTTTTTTAGTCCGAAATATGTAGAGGGCAATAATGTGTCGGAATATGTTTGTAGTTTGTGCTTCAGAAAGTGTCAGGATAAAATTCGAAATAAGGTTTATAGATTGTACTCCAGAACATGTCGAAATATTCCAGAATAAGTTGAATGAGTCGAGCTGGGTCCACAGTTTGAAATGGCTTACGATTATTCAGAACGATTCTTTCCAGAGAATACGATTATTTTGCAAAAACAATTTTATTGAGATTATTTTTTAAAGATAAACACATAAAAGTTTATTTATTTATTTGTTTTTATTTTAAAAAAATATGTAAAGTAAGTATGGTAATCTTTATAGAATTTTAAAGACTTAAAGATTTATTTCTTTCACATGGTACCGATACCAATAATGCATATATGAGTGACGATTCTAAGGTTGGGCAGAAATCCTTTGCAAGATTCAAGACAAACCTTTGCGATTTCTTTACTCCGTTTAACCTCACTCGCAAATCGCAATTCGTATCGAATCTATAATCCTCGCAATCTCCTTCGATTTTGCCCCTTTTTCTGCAAATCCTAACCCTAGTTTCCCCCATGGCCAGCGACAACAAAGAACGTAAGCATCGTCGTTCATCTGACGACGAATCTGAAGAACCCTCGAAACGCCGTAAGCACCGCCATCACCGCCGCCGACACCACCGTCATCATAGTCGAAAGCACGACAAGCACGAAGACAGACGTGAAGAGGGCGAGGAAGAAACCACAGATATGCCTCCTCCTCCTCTTCCTCTTCTTCCGTCTGCTAATTCTCAGCCCGATTATGACATGGAAGAAGGAGAGATTTTGGAAGAGGATGGCGCTGATGTCGGGGTGAAGAAGACTGCAGATTCTGATGCCGAGTCTGGAGAAATCAAAATGGTCTGTTCGGACCCTCCTTACTTTCTTTTTTCTTGTTTCTGTTATAATCCATGAACTGCAACAAATTTTTTTCGTGGTTACTATTGGTTGCTGAGAAATTGACAAGGATTAGGTATGCAAATGGGCTATTTGCACCCAATTTCGTCTTTGATAAAGTCGATTTCATTTTAAGTGGATGGAGTAGAAATAGGGTTTCGGTTTCTCAGCATCCAAAAAGGATTTAACTTTACCTTCTAATATCGTAGATTTCGCAAGACATTGGTATGGCAGCATACGCAAGTTTGCTATTGCACAAGCAAACAAAAACACTCGGTTTTTTTCAATCAAGAATCTTAAATCCATTCCATTCAGCCCCCTTAAATCTTGAATGAAACCATGTTGTTTTTGTTGCTTTTGCAATCAAGGAACTTTCTTTGACAGCCATAACAAGCATGTCTGTACTTTTGCTTTCCTCCCTGTTCATTTGTGTAATGGAGGCCTTGGTATTTCTTGGGGTTCTTACAAATGTTTTAAAGTCCTGTTTGCAACCCACAGAATTATGATATGAATCTGAAAAGGAGCAATCCACTCCACCACCAGTTACATCTTTTTTCCAGGCCACAGTTAAAAAAATTAGGCGTATCCTGAAGACTACTGATGATTTTCAACTGATTTGTAAGAACTGGTTACATGTCTCTTACTCCTTTTCTTTTCCTGCAGTTCTTGAACTTGTTGTCTAATGTTTAACCTTTTGTGATCTCTATCTATCATAAATGTTCTTTCATTGTTTCTTTTTATATGTCTTGTTTGCAGGAAACCCATGGAGCTTTGGTAGTGCCCAACCATAGTCATGTTAAGGAGGAAAGTTTAAGCAAGGAGGATAACAGTAATGGGCATATAAGAAGCGTTTCCCCTGGTGGAAACGATAACATAAAAACCCTTTATGATGAGGATCATGAAACAAGGTCCCACAAAAAACATCCATCTAATGACAACCATTTGAAAACACATAAAGACTCATCAAGAAACCATGCACATGAAAGAAGCCTAGAAGATGTTTCTACTACTAGTAGATCTAGGTCTCATGAGTACGGTAGGGAGAGGTCACGTTCTAGAAGCATTTCTCATGGAGCATCTCGCCTTGAAACACACAAAGAGGATATTGAGTATTACACAAGCAGGAAACACAGTGGGGATGCTGATAGTGAAAGGACAAATAAGCCCTCGAAGGACTACAAACATGGGAGTAGAGATTTGATAAGGGACAAAGAAAGAGAGCGTAGTTCTAGTCATAGCAGACATAGTCTACAAGTAGATAAGCATCACAGCAGGGAGCCTGGAGAGAGAATTAGAGAGGGCAGCAGAGATAGGGAGAGAGATAGAGATAGAGGGAGAGATTTGAAAGAGATTGAGAGAGATAGAATGAAAAAGAAGGAAGCTGAAGTGGAAAGGCTTAACAAAAGTAACAAGGATTCAGAACGATATAGAGACAGAGAAAGAGAAAGAGAAAGAGAGAGAGAAAGAGACAGGGATAATAGAGACAGGAGAGAGAGAGAAAGGCGGGATTTAGAGAGAGATAGTAGAAGTAGAAGAAACTATGATTACAATGATAGGAACAATGATTACAAACATCATAGACCTGAAGAAACAGACTACAGAGATAGAACTAGGAAATATGATGGACAAAAGGGTGAAAGTCACAAAGGTGCACCTTCAGATGTAGATACAGAGAAGACAAAAAGGTTTGTTTTATTGTTTCATACATCTGTTTTTATCAGTTAATGCTGTTTTGTTTTTTTCTAAATCATGTTTTGAATAGAGAGGAGGCTGATGAAGAGATGTATCAAGAAAGAAGCTCTTTGCAAATTGAGGAAGATGAAGAAGAAGATCTTAATAGAATAAAGGAGGAAAGTAGAAGGCGTAGACAAGCCATTCTTGAAAAGTACAAGACTAAATCATTGAAGCAGCAGCAACAACAACCTGTGCCTCAATTAGAGGATACATGTGAGGTTTTCTTTTTTCTTCTTCTTCTTCTTCTTCCCATTAGAGCATATAAAAAACTTCTGACTTATTTGTGTTGAATAATCTAATAGTTTATGACTTTATGTATCTTCAGCTAAAGCAAATTCAGGCACTCTTGAAGGTCAAGGTGAGTTGTCAGATAGTAACACAGGTGACACACCATTTTCAGTTGGAAGATCTCCTCCACAAAATGGTGTTGAGAGGACATCTGGCACAGGTGGACTTGGAGAGGGTACTCCAAAGGTGAGAGTTTTTTTTTTTTTTTTCTTTTTTACTTAATGTGTAGTACTGATTTTGGTTTTAATGGGAATTACAGAGTGAAAGATCAAATGGTGATGATATATTTGGGGAATCTCCACCTCATGCACGTGAAAGGGTAAATCTTGACCTTTGACCTTCTATTTTTATGAGTTTCTTTACTAACTCTCTGTGAAATGTTTGATATCAATGACTTTTTTCTTTTAAATGAACAGAAAGAGGAAAGATCAAATGACATGTTCACTGATGATATATTTGGTGAATCACCAACTGGAGTCCGAAAACCTGTAAGACACACACACACACTCATTATTTCCAAAATCTAATAACAGATTTGCTTATATGATTTTGTTATATATCTTCAGGGAAAAGGAGATGGTTTAGCCATTCAAAGAAGTGGTCTTCAGGATAACTGGGATGATGCAGAAGGCTACTACAGTAAGTATATCAAGATCCGACTCTTTTACCCTTCATCACAAGTTTCCTAATTTACCCTTTTGCAGGCTACCGTTTTGGAGAAGTACTTGATAGCAGATATGAAGTTCTTGCAGCACATGGGAAAGGTGTGTTCTCAACAGTGGTTCGTGCAAAAGATCTGAAAGCAGGATCCACTGATCCAGAAGAAGTGGCAATAAAAATCATCCGCAACAATGACAAAATGTAAGCAGTTTGTTTGACTTTGACTTTGACTTGGTCAATGAGACAACAATTGAGTAAGCTGGTGATGTTTGTTGTTATGTTATAGGTATAAAGCTGGATTGGAAGAGCTGGTGATACTGAAGAAGTTGGTAGGTGCTGACATGGAGGATAGGCGCCACTGTGTGCGGTTTATTTCTAGTTTCAAGTATCGGAATCATCTTTGTTTAGTTTTTGAGTCTCTTCATATGAATCTTCGTGAAGTATTAAAGAAGTTTGGTAGAAATATTGGTCTTAAACTAACTGCTGTAAGGGCATATGCAAAACAGCTCTTCATTGCTCTAAAACACCTTAGAAACTGTGGTGTCCTTCACACTGACATCAAGCCTGATAACATGCTGGTCAGTTCCATCACCTTTTTTTTTTTTTAATCTTTTCACTAAATTACAACAATGGTCCCTGTGCTTTCTGACTTTACCCTGTTTAGTCCAAACTTGAAACTTTTTTCAGTTTAGGTCGTCTTTTTGAGGTTTCATATTGATTTTGGTCCCTGGGACCTTGAAATAAGGACCAAAACTGAAAAAAGTTGAATTTTTTTCTGAGTAAATTACAATCTAGTTCAAAATTGAATCTTTTTACAGTATTCATACTTATTGCAAGGTTTTATATTGATTTTGGTCCCTAGTACCTTGAAATAATGACCAAAGTCGTTATGAAATCTTAAATTAAGGACCAAAATCAAAACAAAACTTTGAAATAATTACCAACGCTGAAACACATCAACTTTTTTTGAGTAAATTACAAAAAATAATCTCTGTGCTCTCTGACTGTAACTGTATATAGTCCAAAAATGAATCTTTTTACAGTTTTCATCCTTATTTCAACGTTTCATATTGATTTTGGTCCCTATAACCTTGAAACGAGGACCGGAATCAATCTGAAACTTTAAATTATGAACCAAAAACAGAGCCCCACAAACCACAGATAAAAAAAATCAATTTTGGGCTAAACAAGTTAAGTTTTTATAAGCACAGGGACCAGTTCTGTAATTTATACTTTTCAAGGCACTAACTTGAAACATTTTGTTTAGGTAAATGATGCGAAGAATGTTCTGAAGCTTTGCGACTTTGGGAACGCCATGTTTGCTGGGAAGAATGAGATCACACCATACCTCGTCAGCCGCTTTTATCGTGCCCCTGAAATAAGTAAGCATCGACTTTTTTTGTATATAATATAATTATTACTTGTGGAACAAGTCATTGACCAGTCAAACATGTTCTCATGCAGTTCTAGGTTTGACTTATGATCATCCTGTTGACATGTGGTCTGTCGGCTGCTGTCTGTTTGAGCTTTACACTGGAAAAGTTCTCTTCCCTGGTGCCACAAACAATGACATGCTTCGCCTTCACATGGAACTCAAAGGCTCTTTCCCTAAAAAAATGCTTCGAAAGGTCTGCTTTTTTACTTTTATTTTAATAACTTGTATCAAAGTTCATTTTTTTTTTTTTTTAAATTTACCGTTTTGCCCTTGTGGTCTTTTTGTAGGGAGCATTTACCGAACAGCATTTTGATTCGGATCTTAACTTTGTTGCTATAGAGGAGGACCCTGTTACCAAGAAGGTAAAAAGTTTTTATCTATTAGATTTAAGATTTAATCATATTTTATTATTTTATTCTTGTATTTAATGGTTTTGTTTGAATTTTTAGACTGTGAAGAGACTGGTGAATATGAAGGCGAAAGATATAAGTTCAATTGTTGTGAGCTCACCTGGAGAGGATCCGAAAATGTTAGCAAATTTTAAGGATCTTTTGGAGAAGATATTCATTTTGGATCCCGATAAGAGGCTGACTGTACACCAAGCATTGAGTCATCCATTCATCACGGGAAAATAACAGAGTTCTTATCAATTTCATGTGATATAAATTTGATTTTAGATCTTTCTAATCATTGGACATTTATCTGTGTCTTTCTTTACCTGTGTGCTGACATGGCGGAGGTACACGCTGACATGGACGACCTGACCTCACCGGTTGGCAGTGGGATGTGTACTGTTCTATTGTAAGATAACTCGCCACATGGCGTTTTCTTCTTCTTCTTCATCTTCTTCTTCTTGTCTTGTAGTACTTGTTCTTGATCTGATTCAAGTTTTTCTTTACTCTACTTTGTATATTGAACATAAGCTCTGAAACTGTATTTGGAACTTATCTTTCTTTGCTTGCATGAAATACTGTTTTTTTTTTTTTTTTTTCTTTGTTTGTAATGATTGTTATTTGTGTTTCTTTGTTGATGATGTATTGTTGTTGTTGTGTTCCAATTTCTTATGTAAAGATTTTTAATTTCTGTAAAGCCTTGGGAAGTCTGATTTGTTTTTTGATTCAGGAAATCCAGCAGTGCTGTTATTGTATGAGGCAGTGCTTTACATGTTTAAATGGCACTCTGGAGAAGGTATTTTGGTTTGTCTGTTTGGAAATTTATTGTGACAAAACTTATCGTTACTTTCTTATATTTCAGAAAGTCTTTTCTTTTTCTTCCTTTTTATACGTGTGAAATTAATTAATTAGCATCGTGGTGGAATCTGTCATATTTTTAGGGAATGACATCTGTTTCTTTCTCATTGGGTTATAGAGTGTGTTCTGAGTGTTTTTTTTTTTTGTTGATTTTATTTGTTACATATAATTAATTAAAGTTCAAAATTATATTCTAATGATATTCTGTTCCACCTGATTCATGGTTTGGTGCGTGTGTGCTGGAGGCTGGAGCTTTAAAGTAAAGACTATATACAGTGAGTAATCCTCTTTAACTTTTACTCTTTTTATTATTGTGTTTATTTTTTTTAATACTGGAAGTGAATGTAATGATATATTCTGACATTGTAATTTTTTTTTTTTGTGTTTTAGGATACAGTCTCTGTGCATCCATCTTCAGCTTCTGTAAGTATGAAAACTGATTTGTCTGTTGTCTTTTTGCATAAATAGTCAAATAGATAGATGATAAAAGATGAATGTTTGGTTGTTACATATTTCATTGTGTATTTTATTTATAAAGTTAGGTTTTGGGAAGGACATGTTAAATGAAATGCACATAATTACTTTAAACTAAAAAAACAATATTCATTAGAAATTAGAAAATGATAACAAGACTAGAAAATTACAACATATGCTTTGGATCATATGTATGCTAATCAAGGTCAAATATCTGATTGGTCCCTATAAGGTTGAGAATTTCTACGATCTTTTTACCATTTAATAAAATATAAATGATACATTATTTTTCTTTACTGAAGCATATTTATATATGATCTCTTTCTCCTTTGCTTTCATTCCATTGAAACCTTATCTTTGGAAAACACAAGCTTTTTATGACTTTGTGTGGCGTTGTACATCATGCTTTTGTCCAGCATCACGGGTTTGAATATTACAAGAAATGTTTGTGATTTGTGCTTACCTAAAAAATTTATCGTGATAAAACAAAGTTACATTAATGGTTTCATGTTTCTACATCGGAAACTTTTCCCTCTGAAAATAAGAAAAAGTTGAAAGCTTTAAACTTCAATTAGGACGCATAAGGCTGGATAGTGGGAGTGGGCTCGGCAACCCACTCGATAACCCAGGACTCGGTATGCTGAGCTTGGCTCATGGCTCGGTAGAATTGTGCCAATGAAAGAGGGTGAAAGTTTGGATAGTTTGTGAATGTTGGCAATCGAATGAATGGTTAATACCACCAATTTACCATTCTTTTCAAAGAAACTCATCAAAAAGAACACCCAAAACAATGGCTTCTCCTTCCAACCCAAAAGGTAAAAAAAAATACCAAAAAAACACCCAAAACACAAACATTTAACGTTTTTCGTCAAATTTTGTTCAAAATCAAAGCGATTAGACTATTTATTCACCTCCAAATTTAAATTTTGCTGGTGTTTACTACCTATTTCAATACCAAAACCTATCACAATTTCAAAGACAATATCAATGAACTTCTCACCCCAAATGAAAAATGACTTCAACCCATTTGACGATCTTTTTGACCCCCGATGAATTTTCAAACCCAATTCCATACTTAAGGGAACCCGAAGTCGTCCCCAAAACGAAATTAAAACAATCAACCACAACCCAAAGAAATTTACACGGGCCGAAGAAAATGTGTTAGTTCGTGCGTGGGTGAATGTTTTTGAAGCTTCGATGGTTGGAAACAAACCAAGATTGTCCAACTTTTCCGAAAAATTACATGGTGTTTTCTCATGGAGATGAATCTTGCAAAATACCAGAAAAAGACTAAATTTATTAGAAGTGGAGAAATATTAACAAAGTGGTGATGAAGTTTAACGGGGTGTTTTGAGTGTCAAGACAATGACAAAGTGGTGCTAACGAAGAAACTGTTGTGAAAAAAACTATTGAAATGTACCAGAATCAGAAACGGCAAATTTCAAATTTCTACATGTTTGAAATATTGTGAAATTGTCAAAAAAAAAAAAAAATGAAAGACATCTACGCTTCTGGATCTTTTACGGGTGGTTTTTCTAAAAAACTAAAACATCCGAAACGACGCATAATCAATTGTCCGATGCGCGTGTAGGGATTGACCTCATTGAAGAGGAGCCTTTTGAGGTTTCAAGAGTCACTCGTCCCATGGGTAAAGATCGAATGAAACGAAGGGAAAAACGACAACAATTAGTTCGAGTGACATTGAGCAACTAACAACGAAATGGATAATTTGAAGTTGTCTTTAGATCAATACTTGCCGATCGTACAAGAAAAAAGAAAAAACTCGTACCATGACGATTTTAACGAGAAACGCAAGCAATTTCACCAGACGTGAAAATGATATGACGATAAAAGCCAAAAAGGAGCTTGCAAAAAAATATAACATCTAGCTTTCATTATTTTATTTTTATGGTTTCATTATTTAAATTTGTAGGTTTGTTATTTGAAATTCTATGTTTTCATTTTTGTGTGTTATAATTTCTTTTAAGTTTAATGAAATTTAAGATTTAAAAAAAATAATATGTTTGAAATGTTTATTTTCTTTATTAATTAATTTTAGAAAAAAAGCAACGCATACCATGTAAATGATAAAATTTGATTAAAGTGTGACAAAGCTGACCTGATACTTACGTGAACTGTGACAAATGTGACACCATTTTTACCGGCCTAACGTTGGAAAGAATTCCGATTTAAGTTAATCCATTTCATTTGGATGGCGTACATGATATGATTTGAATCGCCTACAAAAGAGTGTTGGGGTGACTTTTGTCGTGGGGAAGGGCAAGTGTCTCCGAGAAGGTGAAAAAGATATTGTTGTTGGGTGCTCCATTTTTTTAATTTTTTTTTTGTCATCATGCGTTTAGTTACATCGTTTTCCATCCATTTGGGTGGGGCTAAAATGAAGGAAAATGGTCCCATTGACTTGGTTAAATATTTATTTTTGTTTTAGTCTCATTCTTGCCAAACTTCATACAAACGAATCTGTTCAGTCTTGTCTTGTGTAACAAATGCTAACTTGTTTTACAATTTATTTCTTGCCAAAAGTCATACAAAAGGAATATGTTCAATCTTGTCATTATAAATTTATACAAAAACCAAATTCTCATATGTGTCTAGATTTACTGTAGCTACAAGTGCCTATTTTTATCCACAATGTACAAGTTATCATAGCAGCTAATTTTTTTATCTTCAAAAATCGAATTCTCATATGTTTCTAGATTTACTGTAACTAAATTGCCTTTTTGTATGCATGATGTACAAGTTATCAAAGCAGCCAACTTTTTTTTTATCCCCATTTACTATGTCGACTTTTCCAACCTTCTTTATTAAAATAATTTATATAGTTGAGTAATTTCTACATTATATAAAAATATAAATTTAATCGTACTTTAGAATGTAAACATGCAACTTAATAAAAGAAAACAAAAATTACTGCATATACTATATTGTATTTAAGAAATACTTTAAAATCTTGACTTTTTGCATTAGAAAAAAAAATTGAAATATACATGAATCATGTAAGATTAAAACGGTGTGGTGACCATTTTTTATATCTATAATAATTCTAGAAATTGTGATATTTAATCAATTATAACTCCAAATACACAAAAATATAACACGTAACAATCCGTAGCAACCCACGGGCTCAATTACTAATGTGCAACAAATGCTAACTTATTTTACAATTTATTTCATTTAGTTTAGAAAAAAATATTAGACAAATATGTTCTCCCAACTCTCTCATTTTTACTTTGCCAACTCAGTACCATGCCATTTTTCATGTTCTTCCATCCCTCCCATCTAACATTGGACTCAGTGGCGGACGCAGACTGTTTTAGTAAGGGTGTCCCTCGTATTTCAAGCGGGTGCACGTAATAAAAAAAATCAAAAAAAAAAAAAATTTTTTTTTTTACACTGCGTGCCGGAAATTGAGCAGTGGCCCGGAACCCCAAATGCCCTACATAGGTCCGCCACTGATTGGAATTGCTTATGGGAAAATGAAGCCTGTATCCCTATGAAGTTTTAGGAATTGGTAAAATAGACATTATTTTTTATGGTTTTATGGAGATGCACAAGGTTGGAAGCTATTTGTCCTTTTAGTCATTCATCTTTTTAGTCACCAAAACCTATTTTAGCCGGTATAAATGGCCCACATCAGCAAATCTAGCCACCACAACAGTAGCGTGGATTATTAAAAGAGAAGGTTTTGTTTGACTTGAAAATCAAATCGTGTGTTCATGGTTTGTTCTGGGACAACTACTTGTATTGATACAAGGTAGACCTTATATGTTGTTGACTTGAATATATCATTGTTGGAGAGAGAGAGAGAGAGAAGTGACTTCATGTCACGCAGTGGTGGTCACCACATGCAACAAATCGGATGGTGTGGTGCTATTGCATCACTGCGATGTCACCCTAAGTCCCTAACTGAATGGTGCGGTGGTGGTACACTCAAATAAAAATATAAGCCGTATAACCATTTTTTGTACTTTTCTCTTTTGAATTTATATAAACATTAAAAAAACTTGAATAAAGTAAAGATTTACTCAAAGTTATAATATTAAATTTGAGTTTGATGAGGACTATATTCACAAAATTCACAAATAAAATCTCTTAAAAGTATGTCATTTGTGGATTCAATTAAAACAGCAAACCATAGTATCCTTTTTGTATTTCTTTTTTATAATAAATGAAGATACGATCTTAAATCTTTGAGAACATGTTCATATGTTATGCGATTCGTGAGCCAAATGATCCAATCGCCCAATAACCCATAATCTCCGTATTTCCTTTAGGATTAGCAATTACGGATCCATACCTAAATCACACTTTGCTTTCTTCTAGGCCTGACAATGGAGCGGGTTTTGACCTTGATCCGATCCAAACCCTTAACAATTATATGAGTTTGGAGCATGGTTTTGATTCA